CTCGTAGAGGCGCCGCTGCAGGGGCGTCAGGTCGCAGTAGACGTCGGTTATGATCTTGGGGGGCAAGTCTTTCAAGACTTGCTGCTTGGTGCGCCGCAGGACGAAGGGCATGACCTGCGGATTGTGGTGCGGCAAGAGGGGCGGCGGGCGCCGGCGGTGGGTTTCCAGGGACTTGAGTCCGCCGAGGTAGACAAAAGGCAGCTTGTGTTGAGCAGTGGCCCGTCGCGGGCCCTGACGAGGCAAGGCCACGGCTGGCTCGACGCGGAGTTGCTGCCGCTGCAGCGCGGCCAGTGACGGAGCTTCAAACCCGCAAACCAACCAGCAGGCAGCACAGATGGGACACCATGCGGGCAGCGCGGATCTGATGGGCTTCCGCAATCGAGCACAAGACTCTCTACAACACCAGCAAGGGTACGAGGGCAGTCGGCAGGGGGGAGGCGAGCGCGTCAGGGTGCGCGCCTGCTTGTGCAGCGCGTCCATGGCGAGGACCCCAAGCTCCGCCTCGCGGCTGCCGCGCTTGCTGTAGCGCGCCGCCTGGAGCGCGCGGCCGTAGCGCCCGTTGAACTCCCGCTCCTCTGAGGCAGGTGGGCGTGAGTGCGCGCGCAAGAGAGAGAGAGAGAGAGAGAGAGTGTGTGTGTGTGTGTTTGTTTGTCAGCTGATAGTGGTGATGGTGGTGGTGGTGGTCGGCCGGGGGTGGAGCGGGGCTGGACAGGCAGAAGCAACCGCCCTCCACGCACCTTAGCACCAAGCCTTACGGCCGCGTTCAACTCCGTCAGACTGCATGCGCCAACACTCTCACACCTAGCGCCCCTCCCCCACCCACCCACCCATCGTCACAACATGGATGGCGCAACGGTGATTGCATGCCGTCACACCCCATGGCCCCCTCACCCCCCAGGAAGCCCGGCATGAGGAAGTCGAACAGCCCCCACAGCTCGAGCGCGCTGTTCTGGATGGGCGTGCCGCTCAGGACCAACCGGTGCTCCGCCCTGCGGCAGGGTCGATGCCAGGTGGCGGTCTGTTCTTGGTTGCCAGTTTTGCGCAACATAAATTCGCCGTTGCGAGGTCGCACGGCCGTGGCGTGCAGGCAATAAACAGGCGTGGCCCTTCTGGCTTGCCTGCCTGGGCGGCGTGCGGGAACCCTCCAATGAACGACGACGAAGCTGGCATCCCGTTCTCACGCGCGGCCCCCTCTGTGACACGGGGAGCGGCCTCCTCACCTCAGCTGCTTGGTGACCTGCGCCAGCCGGCTCTTGCTGCTGCGGATGACGTGGCCCTCGTCGAGAATTACGTAATCCCACCCCACCCCCGCCGCCCACTCCGCCTCGGACCGCAGCGACTCGTACGACATGATGGCGACGCCGTATTCGCCGCTGAGCAGCTGCCGGGCAGCTGCCCGGCGCTCGGCGGGGGCGCCGGCGATCTGGATGGGGCGGAGGGCCGCGGGGTCGACGTATTTCACGATCTCGTGCGCCCAGTGGCCGACGAGCGTCGCGGGACACACGACGAGCGACGGCAACCGCTGCTGCTGCTGCTGCGGCGGCGGCGGCGGCGCGGGCAGCGGCTGCAAGGGCGGCGGGCCGGCGCCGGATGCGGCTGCGGCTGCGGGCGCCGGGG